CAGAATTTCCTTGGGAAGTCCCCAAGAAATTGAACTTCTGAGTCATTCAGTATCTATGTAGTCAACATTATATTCAGACATTTAGAGCTAATTTGCAAGTTGATCATGTGATTTAATTCAATAAAATTCATTAATTACATTCTACTCATTGTGTTATATACCAGATTCAGCCGTAAATTCGCCCTGTGACGTTAAACGGCAGTTTGAGTTTAAAAATCGCACAGGGCGATATTTCGGCATTTTTAAAGTTGTTATTTTAATCTTTTCTGGTGCCTAAAAGTTTCACCGTAGTTATTGGCGCCAATTCATGATCAAGAGTATGATGTTTATTGCGACTAGCGTGAATGGGTAAGCTTTGACAATGAGCTGTTATCACTGTAAACAATGTTAAATTATTTTTCAAATGCTCAGTTTATCGTTTGAAGCAACTATTTTTTTTTTATTTAGAAACAAATCATGCCGCTTTCCATCAATATTCAAGCCAAAAGATCGTACAACCACATCGACAAATCTCTTTCGTGCTGCTTTCAATAACATATTTGAATGAGCTATGGTAATTTGAAGACGTTGGCATCATCCATAGTTTTCATTGGTTAATTAGCAATTTGACCTGTCATGTCAAGAACACCGTCCCAGGTCAAAACATAGCGGATATTCATTTCTACAGCATAGAGCGTTTAAAGTGCGATCGGAATCACTCGCTTACGATGAAATAAGTTGATATTTATTTATTTGCATTTCATAACAATTCAGTGAATTTACCTTTTGCACGTTATTATAATCATTACTCGGTAATAATCAACAACTGAGAAACGCAGCATGACCGGATTGCACTACCGCGATCATTTGCTACTAAGCAATGCAGTTGTGTCCGTTTTTATTTGAAACTTCTTAATACTAATAAAATGAAGACAAATCATTGTTAATGACACAGTCCCCGTCCAAAAATTTTTGAAACAGCTTCTGGCATGTAAAAATGACGATTTAACGCTTTTACAGAAAATTTGGGCGTCAGTTAGCCATATTGAATCGAATCACAAAAATAATGATGGTGTAGTTGTATCTCTTGGTATACTATCTTTGTACAAAATTTAAACAGAAACGTTCATAGCATTCAAGAGAAAGTAGCATGGGTACCATGAAAACAAAATGTCCGCCAGTCGGCCATATTTGTTTGAATCACGGAAAAAGTATGACGTGCACCTATAACCAAATATGTATGACCACCATACCAAGTTTGATTCAAATCGGCCAGGGCTGTTCTATCCAATGTTTGCAAAGTCCTACTACACTGTGGGAACTGGGCTGTTCCAACCAATAATGTTTGCAAAGTCCTACTACACTGTGGGTCCAGCGCTGTCCTAAACATTGTTTGCCTTAATTTTGCCCTGATTTCAGAGAACTCTAATAAAATTTGACATTTTTGTTGTTGAACATGTACGTAACAGTCATCAATATATAACTTGTTATGAACTAATAACTCAAATTGGAATTGTCTGCTTGTTCACTTTACTCGAATATATTGCCAACACAATAATCCCCTTATATTTTAAAACATAGCAAACTTGATAAATATCCAGGAATCATATTTATAAAATGAAATCGTGTTTTTATGACTATCACGTGTACATCATTCATTAATCACTTTCGTTTATGACTGTTTTGTCGAAGAGGGCGCTTCCTTTTCAGATTTATTGAGGTTGTAATTTGTTTACGCATGGTTACTAGAAGTAACCGTGGTCCACGTTAGAAGTTTATTGACAATAATTGAACATTCCTGAGCATTTCCATGGGGTTGAGTTTTGAGGTGTCAAGTAACCGAATCGCATGCAGGATTTTCTGTTTGCCAAATCGGAGATGGGCTATTTAAACATCAGTAGTGTATGACAGGTTGTATTGTCGTGAAGACAATAATTGAATCAATAAACGGAACAATAATTGGGTTTTGATCAATATACCTTGAGAGAGCCGTAACTTTTAGATTAGATTGTTGATCTGTGTAAAACACCAGTGACGCGACTGATGGAATTTATGCCGAGCATTTTCGACATTATCACTGTCGCATACGACTAGTTTACCACTTCCGTGTGACTGAGAATGTTATAGAACCGTACTGTGTCTGGGTGGAATTTTTAGAAACTGGTTGAATAGGTAATGGAACATTCTAGAAATTTGTAGTAAGTTCCAGACTCATTATGTATGCTGATGTAATGGTCTATTTATAGACAGTGTGGGTATATATAGGGGAGTTGTTCAGCACTGAGATCAGATCGGAGATCTCGTTGAATTGTATTGGAGTTTAAGTATCTAGTTATTGGAGTAGTGGAGTTTTACCGCGTTATTGTACTTGATGTTTGCAGAGTATAATAATACCAGTACCAGTTGAAACCTCATCTGTTGGCTCCGAATTCGTATTATATCATCGCCGCCAGGGAAGTCTTTCTGTTACTGTTGCCATTTTGGTATTTTAACCATCACACCTGTACTATACCAATTACGGTAATATTACTTTGCGTGTGACAATCACTATTTATAATTGTTATCATTAGAGGCCACACTTACATTACGCCATACGACAAATCGAATGGACTTATGGTTCAGCCACGACTCTGCACTACTGTTTACCTAATGAGAGAAAACTTGAATCCGGAAAGCAGTTTGAAGATTATTTAAATGACCCAAAATAAATTTGTTCACCATGAAGGTACCAGTTAATATGGTATTTACTGCTTCCGTGTGTGGTAATAAGCATAAAATTAGTTATTATTTACGAAATAAATTAAAAAATCTTCCAAAGGAAAGTATGCTTTAAAAAAGAAACTGAAATCGACGCATGTTTTTTTCAGTATTATTTAATCCTATTAATTCAATATGTATTTGCAGACATATATTACAAACTCCAGAGACATTTCTAGAGAAAGGTAACGTCAGCTGATGCCTTTTCTTTGTACCAACTGTGCCACACTAACCGATTTATCGACCCAAGTTGCAACGGCAACGTTGAAAAAAAAGATATAAAGCCCATTTGGTTATACTAGAGATAATGTGCCTCAAGTTATACTTATATAAGAGCTTGCATTTGTTAACTGATCGCTATCATCGATTCCATGGCGATAACAAACGGTCAAGGATCACTATTAAACGCTCGGTTCAAGCCAACTACCCAATAGCGTTCACACATGTTAGGGACCGAGCATCGTGCATTTGCATTATCCTAATGGCATTCAACTAATAATACTTGAACGGCGGTGGTCGTCGCTCAGTACGTGTTCGAATTTCATGTAATCAAACAATGTATTTTACACGTGTTTTTACACGCGACGCAACGTTGACCGCCGACATATAGTCATCAAATCATTCCGAATCACAAAACCCAGTGAATAATTAACCCTTTTACAGTATAAAGGACCTTATGTATGGTCGTATACTTAGTCAGTCGCCGGTACATTCGCCTACCACTCATATAATAACACTAGGTAGGAAATGACATTGAAATTGTCTGAAAGTTGTATCAAAAGTTTGAAATTGAATTTTTTTGAAAGTTAAAAATTGAGCTAATAATTTGCAATATATAAAAAAACATCTGCATCGGTTTTGGATGACGCGGTACGCACGTACATGTTTGGGAACAATTTCGATGTCATGATGGCAAAGCTTTCCTACCTTGTATTACAGCTGTATTTGAATATTCTTTCGGAAATTTGAGATATTGTTAAAAAAATCCTGTACAGGGATATGTCTGATGTCAACTAATAATACGCAATTATCCAGGCAGTACTAGAAATTATTGCTGATATTGATCATGTTTTGTATTGGGAAGTTGGATACTTGAACGTGTAGTTCCAAGGCGTGTAGTAGACGAGCATAATCGTACTGTCACATGTTTTTCGTCTTAGCCTTGTCTTTTCGTCTTAACCGTCGCAGTCCGCTTCATTGAATCTTTAGTTTGATAATTGATAAACATATATTCAGTGTGAGACTGTTGCATTCAAGTTGTATTAATACAAAGATTATTCAAACTTGTCCCTTCCGTTGCCAACGTATTCAATATACGGAAATAGCATGTGTGTGCGTTTGCGTGAGTGAAAGATGCAGGTGAGATTTATTTTGTTCTTTCATACTCGAAATCTATCGCTAGCACCATTTATTTTGTCATGTCTCACAACTGAATGTCCAAGCTGATTTTGTTTTGGCTGTATTATATGAGTGGTCGGCGAATGTACCGGCGAGTATACCGACCCTACTTTATTATCCAAGAAAAATTCCGAGCGCTTGTGCATGTTGCCGGAATCTCATTTCAGATTGCTGACGCCAACGATAAGAAGAAATTCGAGCATATCATTAACGAATAAGAATATTATGGTAACTCGTTACTTTAACACCGGACATCAGAATATAAATAAAACTCCACGGATATTTGACCGCATTGCACACATTGATAAGATTTATAGAAATTTTAAACAATAAATTACGCTACTAACAAATACGTTAATTTTGTCATGTTATATATGATACAATTTGTGTGGTTGCTAGCTGTATAAATAATGGGTTGAAAATGACCGTTTTTGGTTAATTCGTGTTTAAAACTATTTAACTTCCGAACACACAAGTTTATCGAATGGGATTTTGACCTTTTTAAACATATGTTCACTAGGATGTATTTCCATTGAATAGTTTTTTTCACAATGCCATCTAAAAGTTTCACATTTTTAAATTGATCCGTAATTAACGCTATTGCCGATTGTCAACCTGAATGCGGTTACTTTTTTTCCACTCGAAACAATAATAATAATAATAATAATAATAACTTTATTTAATTAAGCGCAACAATTCCAACATATGAAGATCAAAGGCGCTGATACAATAAACAATCAGTCAAATATTAAAAGCACATTTAAATAAGTGCGTTTTCAGTCTGGATTTAAAAATGTCTACTGAAGGACTAGAACGAACAGACAGAGGTAATTCATTAAAAAGTTTAGGACCTAAATTTTCAAAAGCACGGTCTTTGTATAACACCTTGGACTTTTTACTACACACCTGACGAGTTTTAATAAGAAACTTTGATTCAGATCTTAAACTACGACTAGGTACATAAAATTCGATTAATTCACATAGATAATTTGGGGCAAAACCATACAAAGATTTATACACTAGTAAAAGTAATTTGAAATTGATTCTTTGTACAACTGGTAACCAATGAAGTTTAATAAAAATGTCTGTAATGTGGTCATATTTTCGAGCACGAGTGACAAGGCGGGCTGCTGCATTTTGTACACGAATAAGAGGTTTTATCTTAGTTACAGGGAGACCAGACAATAATGAATTACAGCTGTCTAAGCGAGAAGATATGAATGCATGTACCAACTTTTCAGTATCAGATTGGGATAATGATTTACGAATACGATTAATATTTCTTAGATGGGAATATCCAGATCTACAAATAGTAGAAATGTGTGTTTCCATAGATAGCTGC